TTTTTGCTCAAATTTTTTGTGGGCGTTCGTTAAGACGTTAGTTATGGAGCTAGTTTGCTCTGACGGTCAAAATGACCCATTTTTTAAGGTCACACAAGCCCTGGACCAGGTAAACTCCCCATTTTGCCGATTTTCATGTGTTATAGCTTGCTTACCATCTTTTTTGGTGATTCAAAATCTGCTGTCATTTTGCCGAAATTTTCGTGAACATCCGTTAAGACGTTAACTATAATATCTCTTTTTTAAACATAAACTATATCACTAATTAATACTCTACTAAGTTGAGCAGTTAGAAAAAATTGATAATGAAATATATGTATTTCTTGTTGACTAAAATATTCTAAAAATATTTTTTAAATTAACTTATTTTCCTATAATATAATGAAAAAGATTTATCTAGATAAATTAAGAAAAAATATTTTCAAAACTTTTTTAATCTGATCATTTCAAAATAAAAATTTAAATTTCGACTATAGTCGAAAATTAACTCCTAAACTTGACTCTCGATTATTATTTGAGATTCAAATCCTAATCCTAACTACAAACCTCAATCTGAACCCAATCCAACCCAAATTTGTTGTTGGAGGAGAAATGCCTAATGCATCCTAGGCATTTGGCAAAATGCTTTACACTTCCCCAACAAAGATATTGGAGTAAAAAAGATTTAGAGGAATTATTGGTAAAGGAGCTAAAAGAATGTAAACTATAGGAAATAAAAATTACAAGAAGAAAAAGACAAAGAAAAGAATAAAAGGATGTTATATATAGTAGTCTTTTTTATGCTCATTAAGTGAGTAAATCTTTTTCTTTATCAAAATCTTGTTCCCCTTTTTTAATATAAATAATTGTACTTTAATTTTCACAAATGACTTTCCCAAATATTCTCACACTTTTTCTTGAAAAATCCTTCAATTTTCATATATTACTTGTCCTAAACAAACAATATGTAAGTTCTAAATAGTAATATCGCTTTCCTTTTTTTTCACTTGAATTTGAAAAAAACATTATTATTGTATATTAATTTGAAATTGTGATAAACTTTATATTCTACATCCACTTCTAAATTTATTAATAAATGGTAAAAAAAAAGAATGCTTTGAAACTTTCATCTATGGAAAGGCAAAAGTGAAACAATGTGCGTGTAGATTATAATTCACTTTAATTATTATTTCCTTTATATCTGTAGTAAAAAGTAAATGTAGGGTTTACAATATAAGGAATATGAAATAATAAATCTTCTTTTTATTCCATTTGTTTGTAGTATTGCAAAAAAGCTTTAGATAGATACCCCACTTAAAGCAACCTTGACCTTAAGAAGAAAAGTTATTAATGATTGATTATAACTCAATTATTGAAAGATCTTTAATTTTTATAGTTTTCTATAATCTTAATTATTGATTTTACGTTTAGAGTGTTGTATATATAATGGGAACATGATTTTGGGCGCTCAATATGTATAGAGAGTTGCATGTTAACGATATTGCATCCTAGGCATTTTTTGGGATGTGACATTTATCAGTTAATTATACTTAAATGCTATATTGTGTATATATATATATAAGTTGTTAAAATTAAATTATTTGATTTGATATAATTATTCGATATATATATATATATATATATATATATATATATATACAAGTATTTACGAAAAATTTAAATATTTTTGTTTCTAATTTTATTTCTCCTAGCTTAGTATACACATTGTGTCATTCCCCAAGACACTGAGTCTTATCAATAACGAACTTTCTAAAAACTTGATCGTAAATTTTAAAAGTAGTTTTAAAAATAATTATCTGATTAGCTATGAAATTTGATCAAATTTTGATTTTAAAATATCTTTTGGCTCAAACCAATTTTTGGATTTTTCACACATACATTTAGAAAAGTTTTGAAGAAAAAAAAATAAATAAAATACATTATTTAGTTTTATTCATTGTTATTGATCCATGAATTTATGGTGATACATTATTTCGACTTGTTTTTAGTCGAATATTTTGGTGGACGTCCTTTACAACCTTATCAATGGAGTTAGTTGGTCCCGAGGGGCAAATAAAAACATTTTCAAGTTCAAAAGAGTTTCAATGGGGGAAACGACTGAATTTACCATTTTTCGTGTGCTTATAGTTCATGAAATTTTTGTGATACATGATCCCGACTTGTTTTTGGCTGAAATTTTTTATAGACATTCGTTATGACCCTATTAATGGAGTCAATTGGTCATGAGAGCCAAACTAACACATTTTCAAGTTCAAAAGAGCCTCAATATAATGTGGGATAATCGAATTAACATTTTTAATATGTTATATAGTCCATGATTTTTTGTGTGATAGCCGACCTCAACTTGTTTTCCCTAAACTTTTTTATTGACATACATTATGACCTTATTAATGGAATAAATTGGTTCAGAGGGGCAAATAGACACATTTTCAAGTTCCGACGAGCTCCGAGGCGGGAAAAGTTAAATTTATAGTCCATTGATTTTTTGTGATAGTGATCCCACATGTCTCTTATCCAAATTTTTGTGGATGTCAGTTACAACCTTATTAATGGAGTATGTTGGTCACAAGGGGCTTATTAATGGCATCAGTTGATCCCGAGGGAAAAACGAATGCATTTTCAAGTTCAAACGAACCCAAAGCAGGAAAAATAAAATTTACCAATTTTGTGTGCTATAGTCCATTGATTTTTGGTGATACGCGATCCTAACTTATTTTTTGTCAAATCTTTTCATGGATGTCCGTTATGACCTTATTAATGACATGAGATGATCCTGAGGGGCAAACAGACACATTTTCAAGTTCACACGAGCCCTAAAGTAGGAAAAATCAAATTTACCGATTTTCGTGTGCTATAATCCATGAATTTTCGGTGATACGTGATCTGCACTTGTTTTTGAAAGAAATTTATCATGAATGTTCGTTAAGACTTTATTAATGGCATAAGTTCACCCCAAATGGCAAACTAACGCATTTTCAAGTTCAAACGAGTCCCAAAGTCGAAAAAACCAAATTTGTCAATTTTTCATGTGCTATAGTCCATGAATATTTGGTGACATGTGATCCCGAATTGTTTTTGAGCGAAAATTTTTCACTAAGAAAATCGCTTAATTCCTATAAATTGACCCCTAAATGAACAAAAATCACTCTAAAAATGGTGAAACTGCACATTCAAAAGCTAACATGTCACCAAAATATTTATGGAGTAACACGTAAAAAATATTTAAAAAATTATCTAATTCGTATAAATTAGCCCTTAAATGTCCAAAAATCACTCCAGTTGTTCCTCGAACTTAACCCTTTGATATAAAGTACAAACTACAAAGGCAAATCTCAATTTTTTCCTCAAGTTAAATCCACAGCACAAATGTGCAGTAGTCATATTCATATAGGAATAGTTTGAAAAGTGCCTTGAATGCTGAGCAGAAAAAGACAGTACAGTCCAGAGAAAGGACTGAGATGAAACTATATTCTATTAATTTATAATAAGTAAAATTAAAAGTATGGTCTCTATCACAACCAAACCTTCATAATATGTTATTTTTCAAAGGAAATTAAATTTGTTCAAATATTCCTTTTGGAATAATCAAAACATTACACAATCATCTTATAATTCAAATCTATACCTATTCCTTCCGATATTTGATATTCGTTCGAAGGATTAACGTAGATTCTCGCTATGTAAAATTCATTTAAAAAACAAACACTCTTTATTAAGATATTTATTATTTTAAATTCGAAACTTCTGATTATATACAAAAGATGTTATCGCCATGATTCTCGTTACTGGTCATAAATTGTGTACATGCAAATGCATGAATAAGTCAGTGAAGGGGATGGCAGGGCAGTTGAAGGTTGGTAGGGAGAATGAGTAGGTAGGTATAGTGAAAAGTGGTCAGAGAGATGTCAATCATAGAGCAATGGATTGGAAAATCATTAAATGATGTTTGGCCCCTTATGTTAAATCAAACTTTTAATTTGATGTTTTGATATTTATATTAGAGCCTGATTAAATTTGATTTTGCATTGAAAAAAAATTTAGACTTAAATTCAAGATTTTAGAGCAAGTTCGAATCTGTAGTACTATATAATTAAGTGTGTATATATCTATGCATTTCTTTATGGTTTCAATCAAAAATCACTGTTTGTGTCTCGAATTTCTCTATAGATTTTGGCTTAGCACCCAAAATCTTTCGATCATATTCAATACAGATCCTACACACAGGTCCAACTTTACATCATAGTAAGTGAAGGTCATTAGGAAACTAAACTAATCTTGAAGCAACTGTAGAAACAATTTTCTTTGTATCTATTCATGTAGTCTCAAAAGCCAAAAAGACCCTTAGCTACAAAAAGAATAATGACAGGGAGATAGATAGTAGATGTCACATTTAAATCAGAGACCTGACCTGATATTGGACATTTGACCTCACAAGAATCGACCAATTTGTTAATGAACAAAATGTACATGAGTGAAGTACCTAACCTGAATCTACTATCTTCTCGTGGCAAAGGAAGGAAAGTACCATTATCGGCTATTACACTACGTATTGCTACCTCCTAGCAGCACAAATATCAGCTAACTCTGCCCACGAGGCAGATTGATATGTTCTCCTGCCAAAGACGGAAAACACCCTGGCCTGAGAACCATAAGAATCATCAGCGCTCCATTTGCCCCCTTTTGAGGCCTGTACATAGAATGTACTTCCTGAATCTAAGTTTTGGTTAAAAGTTACATAGCTGCTTCCCCTAAATATTTAACTTTTCATCCTTTTGTTAGGTCCCTCCATTGGAGAAAATGGGTGTCACTGAAGTTGGATTTTATGAGTTATTCAGTTCTTCCTCCAAACTTAAATATTGTAGGACCTTCACTTTCAGCCTCTTTGGTCCTATCTCTATTGGAGGTGGTTCTCCAACAGTCTTACCCAACTCATACCCCGACTTTTCATCTCTTTTATGCTCATTTTGCTTACTAGATGCTTCTTCGTTAGCCCCTTTCTTAAACTTAACAGAGATGGCAAGTGTACCACCTCTGCTCGACTTGTCTTCCTTGGAATGGCTTGAATTAGCATTGGAACGGTCTGATGAATACAAGGACCCGACCCCTTCAGTTTGATGTTTCCTTAATCGTTTGTAACCCTGGAAAAGTAAATGCCAAGAATACTTCAGTAGCTTATAGTAGAATTTCACGCCAAAAACAAGAAATGTCCTCACTGAAGCAAGAAAAAAAAGGTGAATGCAACTTTCAACTGGTCAATGAAATAGAAATACAACAACAGTTGGAGATTAGCAATATAAAATTTTATTTTGATACGTGAGGTTACCGTCCATACTATCCAGTTAAACAAAACAATTAGTTTCATTTCTTGTTAACCTGCCAAGACAGTCATAAACTACCAATAACGCACCTGGATCGACAGAGTGTGGGTAGCAAAACTATGTGAGCGAGCCCTGTAACTAAATACACTCCTCATTTTGCTCCAAATTTGGTAACAAAAATCGAAAAGAAGTTGTTACAACCATAAGACAACTGATTTTTAAAGCAAAGTAGCAAAATTTCAATATTGGGTTTGAATGCAAAATTGAAGCAAAAGCCATGATGCAATGCAATGCTTAATCTATAGTTACCATAAAATACCTATAACCTAGCTAGCTACTCAACATTGGTTTCACGATTTCTTGAAAACAATATGATGACGATTTACATCTCAAGTTTAGCAATTTGACTTGTCAGCCTTTCTACTAGTCATTGCAATTTTTGCATATTTTTCTTTTATCATTAGCAACTTTGTCTCGGGATAATTTGTCTCGGGATTAATAATTAGTAACACTTAATTTGTTTTTTGGTTGGCAAGTCCGGGATAATTTGTCTCGGGATTAATAATTAGTAACGGGATAAGCTATCCTTCCCCTTGGGTGGTATAGTAATCCGGGGATAAAATAAGTAAATGACAAAATGTCTCTTTCAACCCTTTTGTTACATCACTTTTACATTCATGAAGGGCATTTTTGTAAACAAATAAATTGTTCTTAAAATTTATTATTTTGAATACAACAAACCAAACACTCAATAAAAAATAATCCCATCATAACTAATCTCAACATAATTAATCCCATCATAACTTGAATTCAAACCAAATGACCCCAAGAATTATTATCTTTTGACCATCTAACTGTAGGTTACACAGCAAATTATGAACTCAATCCCTTCACGAATCGAAGAAGTATGTAGATTATGTATGTTACAAGGCTAATTTATGCAAAACACGAAAGGGAGAACATGAATGAATGCAGAAGATACACATTGAAAAGCCAAATAGAAACCAACACCTTTTCCCCTTGTCATAGAACTGTTTAACTAGAAACTTTAATTTGAAAACCCAAAAAGAGCAAAAGATTGCACCCAAACTTAGACCCCAGTATCCACATACCTGGTGCTCAATGTTAACTGATGTTGAATCACGTCTACTTCCATTTTCTGCTCTAAAACGTCGCTTCACTCTGAAAATTTCTGAATCGGACTCATCATCATCTTGGTCAATAACAGTTCTAACATCTGAAACATGAGCTATTTTTTCATGTACTTTTAAATAGTCAGCACTAGGTGAGCAAGCTAATCTTTCACTTCTACACCTAGAAATGTCTCTTAAAGGCTTCACAGATATATTGTTTCCTTCTTGAGAGTTATAAGCATTTTCCTGTACCTGCGCAAGCAATAAAATACATTTCCATTTCTGCATGATAGAAGTCAAAACAGTTCTGCCAATATAATAATCTGGATGAAGGTAACTTACATTAATACTAGTGGGGAGGCAGTCATTCCGCTCCATTGTCGAACCAGTATTGGGCACGAGTTCAATACTAGAGGCAGGAGCATTGGAAGCTTGCTCATCAAATGTTTGTTCTACCCGGTCCTCAGCTTTTACTGTCCATTCAAAATTTATTTCACAATATGGAACATATCCTTCCTCTTCAGCTTGCGGAAACATGTTCAAGAGGAGAGCCAAGTCATCACCTTCTTGATAATGCGCAACATCATGCAAAACATTGTCATCTAGCTCAAACTTTCTAGCTGTAGTTTCAATGTCCAAAATATCTTCCCTTAAGCAAAGGGTTCTACTGCTGCCACAAGGAAAATGAAGTGACCTAGGATCTGATGAAGAAACCATATACCAATTCATCAGCTCTTAAGTGTGTTGTCACTATAACTAACAAATATAGACAGAGAAAAGGTTTTATTCAAATATACCATGGCGAAGGCATGCTGCATGTGAATAGCAGCTGCAGTTCAGATATGCTACATAACTGTCACGCTTGCATATGCTGCAGAGGATAGTGCTGTGTGAAAATGACGATATACCAGAAAATGCTTTTAATTTCAGGAAGCACCAGCGAGCACGATGGTGAAACCGCATTAAATTTATAAAAGAAACTTTGATGGTATGGTGGGTGATCAAGTCTGCAGATGAAATAGCTGAATATTCAAGTTCCAAATCCGTAAGTAAAAGCATTGCTTCTTTGCAGAGAAGTTCCTCATTGGGAAGAAGAGGCACCCTGTTCAGGAGTGCATAACGGCGGCTAGCAATTGAACCGATTGGAAACCAATCACCAGTTGCAAAGTTTACAGCCTCACCACAGTTAAAACCTACACATTAGGGAAAGAGAATTAACTAACACCTATCTGTCAGCTAAGATGAAACCCCAAGAATTTTTAAAAAAAAAGAAAAAAGAACATCAAGGCCCAAAATTAGAGGAGTGCTCGAGAGCTGTCAGAGTTGCAGGTTTCAGTTATATACAACCTTAGACTCTTTAAGTCTAGAAAAGAAAAAAGAGGTTTACCATGGCTGAATCCGGCATGATATGCTCTTGGAAAAGTTACTATAAATTCACCAGGCTTTTGAACAGCTTTATAGACAGGAACATCATGTTCTGATAAAATGTTAGGAGGAAAAAATGTTGTCTTCTGCAAAAGCACATCAAAGGCTCCATCCTCTCCATCGGCGGTTAAGATATCATTGTTATAGACATTCTCTCGGACAACCTTTTCAAAGTCGAGTGCTGCATGACCTGGAATACCGTACCAGGTTTTTGCTGCGCCGCAGTGATGATAATTGATGCTATACACACAGACGAAGAAATGATTAATCCCCAAATTAACTGAACTAACATGTATGCTTCGAATTAAAGAACACACCTGTACAAGTAGTGATCTTCAACATGCCAGGCAAACATACTAAATAGCATTCCAATGTACAACATCGGTTCTGTAACTCCCTATAAGATACATAAATAAGAAGTCAGGAATAATCAGGTTGGATCGAAATTTCAATGATAAAGGTGCAAAAACTAATCTGTTTACCGGGATTGCTTTTTCGAGTAGTCGAAGTACTGATTTAGGTAGGCAAGAAAATCTCTGAAACCAAAAATAGAGGGTTTATTAGAACAAAGATGGTAAACAAAAAGACATTTAGCACCGTTATATTACATCTTACGTTGATGGGAGTCAGGAGAAGCTGATGCACGGAAAATTATGAAAAAATTTTTACTTTGTCCTTCGTTGTGGAAGGGTCAGAAAGGAAGAAAAAAGGGATATACCAGAATAGCTAGGAAAAGAGTAAAAGAGAAGGTTGAGGGAAAACACTATCAAACAACACTGAATGCGAAAACAAAATAAATTTGCACACCAGATACAAGGCACGAAAACTCGTTTTTATACTGACAATAGAACATATCCTTGAAGACAAAGAAACTCCATATTAGGAATTGCACAACAAAAAGAAACTTGCTATGAAATCTACACCTTCATATTCCATTTGCATTTTCCAAGTTCATCATTGGGAGAAGATGAAAATGCACTACCATCGACATCGCATGCATATTCAACACTCTCAGTCTTTCCGGAAGCTATTTCATGCCAAAATTCTTTTTCCATATATGTAGGAGGAAGACATCCAGCACTACAATACCTACGAGCATAAACCTTGTTTGCCATTTTCTCGAAATCACGAAATGTGTAGTTTCTGGAAAAACATACTTTTTTCTCAAAAGCTGACAAATTAGCAATTAAGTGAACACCAAGTATGATGAGGAACTAACCTCCCGCTCATGAAAAAAGTAACCCTGTCATCTCTATCCCACTCAGCTAGACGAAGTGGCTGTACCCTTGTTGTAAATTTAAAGCCAACCTTCTCTTTCATCAAAACTACTCCAGCAGGAACAGAAGCCATGATTGGGGAAACAATCTTGCATATTCCTGTTTCATTTCAAAGTAGAATCAACACTTATCAAACAAATGAAGCCAACTGAAACTATTCTTAGACAAGAACATGGTCCAGAAAAAGCAAGAGGCAATTACAATATGTTTTTGACTATAGTTAGGACAACTTTGAGCTATCTAAATATAAATGGAAGAGCTCTACAGATAAGGCCAAAGAAACTAGATAGCAAGTACATTAATTCTTAACAGCCAGGGCCCATCACAGAAACATATTTAATCAGGACTAGCACGTAAATTCTACCGGAAAGATAATTGAAACAGACTTGCAAGGACAGACATAAGAAAGGGTTGACTTATTTGACACAATATTAATATAGACCATTACCATATTTAGAAGCTTCGGGAGTTATCTTCTGGAGATAAACTATAGGATCCTCAAACTCCTCTTTACTTGGATAATACACTGGACATTCTGGAATTTTATCAGTCCATTCAAGATCAGACGTATCAAACTTCGCAACCTTGTGCTTTGGGAAAACATTTCTTTCATTTAAAGAAGTCCCCGACCCTGAATGCATATCAGCATTAACACGAATTCTTACACCACAGGAAGCTGTAGATCTTAGGGCATCTCCTCCACTTCTACTCATTGTACTGCTGACAGAAGTCAAATCATTCATGGATTCTGCTTTCATTCGTTGAAGCCTTTTTCGCTTCAAAAACTCCAACATAGCTTCCCTCGACATTCTATCAGCAATATTTCATGTATTTAAAGTTAATACTTCAGATTTTGCATAAGAAACCACAGAGAAAATGGGAAATCGGTTATATGGCTCATTACAAAAGCTATTTTAGTTATATAGATTTTCCAACAGGAGATCATTATAGGCAGGACTGAGGTATGCTTCGCGACAGGTTCAACGTGACCAATAATTTTGGGTCAAACCATGTATTTGTGTTTAAAAATCACTTAATATTATGTATAAATGATTTATCAAGAACCCATTAATCTGCATTTTCTAAAATCTAGAACTGATGAACTCAAAAATCCTAGCTTTGCCTTTGTTTATAGGTTCCTTTTCATATTTTCAAATTGCAACGGGCCACTGAAGATCATCTCCTCCTGAGAAAACTACAACTACTACTATGCAGCAAACCAAACTAGTTAGTATTAGCTATATGAATCTGCAGTATCTGTTCTTCTCTATATATTTGGACTGTTCCATTCCAATACTAATACTGCAAAAACATAATATACGAAACCTTAAATTTACGGGGAAAAAAACTATAGGAATTGTTTGTTTTCTATGAAAATGCTCGTGATCCAAACTTCAAGCGTAAAGAACAAAAGCACATTCACCATTATCAAAATAGGAAAAACTTACAAGAAACGTCACACTCTTTTAAATATAAAACTGTACCGTCAACTGTTCTCATAGCATCGTATTCCAAAGCTCATAGTCCCCTCCGGCAGTCTTCTCCTACACTTCACCGGAAAATTAAATCAGAAACAGCAACAACGAAGGAAAAAGAAAAAAACAGAGACAGAGACCGTCAACCAAGCCCTAGAACACAATTTACAGCACAATAAACGATAAACAAAGCATTAGGCTGGCTACATTACCTCCAGATTGCATAAACCAAGCCAAACTCAGAGATCAGAACGATTCCACAGCTCGAGTGATCGAACTACGCACAGGAACAAAGTACACTACTATAAAATAGAACACAATAGAGAATCTGAGAGAGTGTATATTCTCTGGAGACACTGTACACCAGCAACAAGCAGCTTTCCGGCAACACGAAAAACGTTTGCCGGCGATTCCGGATACTCTATCCAGGAGCGGAAACAACGGACACTACTCAAAAGCATGGAAACATAGAAACTATGCGCGTTGCAACTTCACCGGCAACTGTTCACCGGCAAACAAAGCAGTTCTCCGGCGGGAATGGAGAAACGCAGAGAGAGAGAAATGGAATAATTTTAGAAAAAATAAAAAAGAGAAAAAGTGCGGATAATTTAGAGAGTTATATATAATCAAAAAGAAAAAAAAAGAAATAAATAAATCAAATGGGAAATAAATAATTTGATTTTAATTGTTTAGTTGTAAAAAACAAGAAGTGTGAAGGAAAGTGGTTGATAATTTGGTTCAACCAAATGCCTGCCGGCTCTCGAAAATAATCATAATTCATACCCTTTGCTTTTTTTAATTAGTGTTCGATTAATTTAAATTTACGTTAAAAAATATTATAATTTGAAATAAGGATGATTAAATTATATTTTGGCAAAAACACTTTCAAAATGTGATTAAAAATAAGTTATACTATTAATGTGTCTTTTAATAAAAGATCAACTAATATTTATGACGTACACAAATAAACATTTGAATTTGTATAATATTGAACAACTAAATACATTCTATTTTAAAGTTTCCCTAAAAAAAAAACTATTTGCACAACTTTTACTTCAAATCGTCCATAATTTTTTAAAAAAATAATTTCAATTCATATTCGAATTCAATAACATTTTCATTTTTAAATCCTTATCCAACGTATGGAATGAATTTAAAAATGTTCTAGAAGGACTTTTGTTTCGATAGCGGTTAAAAGTGTGAAAGGGTAAGTAGCGGGAAGAGAAGATCAGGTGCATCAGTAGTACAGGAGAATATTGTGGGGTGCTTATATCAACCGTAGATTAAGTTTCATTACAATATTAAACGGTAGAAGATAAACTTTTATATTTATATATAAAATCCGTCAGTTACTTTTGGGTACTTGAAATGACAGTTCTGTCCATGGTAGTTGCCTCTTTTTGGCTGTTGGATAAAGGGTGATCATGTCATTTAATAGAGAATCGTCTGAAAAAGGCAAATCAGTAACGTGAGTTTTAGGCTTTTATCAAAAAAAGGAAAATATTAGATGGGGCAATTTAAAAGGCAAAACTTTAGGGGAAGTTACGCAATTGGCCAATTATATAATCTTTTATTCTTTTAACTTAAATGAGCGGTTATTTTAGGTTGGTTATTGATTTATCGTAAATTATATTTATATCTTATAAAGTAGATAGATCGTCATTCCAAATGACCTAGACTATTTGAAGGATAGCAATTCACACATATAATGAAATTAATTCTCCTTGATGCCTTTTAAATCGAGTGTCTCACAACATAGACTTGTTTCGTGCGCTTTATATTTCTTGTGTGATTTGTAACTGTTATTGAGATTGTAATGATTATCTTAAGATTTTAAAAGGAGAAAAAAATAACACTAAATACACATTACATATACTCAGAAGCGGATCTAGGATTTGGAGGTCGGGGGTGTCACAACGTTCAAGTAAGACGAAAGGATCGATTGCTTTAATTTTGGGTTATAACTCACGTTATTAATTTTATTTATTTTATAAATGAATCGATCAAATATGCATGTAGTAATATTTTCTTTTAGATATTATGTAATTAGATATAACTAAACAATTCAATTTTATTTCCTTTTTGGAATTTGATATCTTCTTCGCTGAAACTTTCAAGAAAAAAAAAAGATTCTTCGCATTAAAATTTGTGTTTGTATAAACCATCTAATTGTATGAACATAATATATTCATCTTCCGTTGACTTTATGTGTTATTGAAAATATATAGTTGAGAAAGAATAAAAATTGTAGTTTCAGCTTAGTCATGTTACATAACAAAAATGTCGATGAAGATCGCAAGAACCTTTAAATTAAAAAAAAATCATTTTTGAAACTTATGTTTTTTTAAAACTACAATTTAAATATATTCTTAATAATATTTATTTAATGCTTATAATTCAATACTCACTAATTGATAATAAAAAAAATACGTTACACTCATATCAAGAGATTAAAAAAAATACGTTACACTCATATTAATTATGAAAAGAGGTCAATTTAAATTAATAAAAAATAGTAATAAATAAGAACAAATATAGAAAAAAAAAGGGGGGGGGGGGGAAGTCAATTTGAATTAATAAAGAATACAAATAAATAAGAATGAATAGAGAAAAAGAAAAGGAAAAAAAGAAAGTGTTGATGGCCAAGTTCGAACCTGCATAGCCTATGTGGGATAAATATTGATGGCAAAACTAATATATATATATATATATATATATATATATATATATATAATATTTTTTTCGAAATCACTGGATGTCGTGGCACCTCCACATTAGATCCGCCCCTGCATGAGCTGTTGTTATTGTTGAGTGGCTATTGATATCAACCTTTTAAAAAAATGCATCCGTAATTGGTGCAAATCAATTAATACATGATAAATAATTTCAAATAGTTAATATATATTCTTCATTTATTTTTATTTGTCATATTTTGATTTGTCATATTTATTAAAAGAAAATAATAAATAAAAGAAAACATAAACAATATTTTAGCTTAAGTTATAATTTAATTATAGTAAATAAATATATTTGATGTAAACGTCTGAAATGCTTACATTAAGCCACGACAAGTTGTTATAATCAAGTGATTTGATAAAATTATCATATTTATATATTACTTACTAAATTAAATAACTAAACTATATATATTAATACATAGTGTGCATCTGTAAGTTTTATGTGAACAAGATCCGCTATAATTAATGTTTTTATCATCGCGTGATTATTTTATGAATTTGTTTTATTTTATGAGGAAGTAAATCTGTTTTTAAAAATATGTTTTAAGATAAATAATAGTACCTTTTTACATTTGAAAGTTTTCTAACTTTTTATTAACTATTTAAGAAGTATTTTTTATAGTTATAGAAATATAATATCATATTTAAGATCGTTAGATTTTAAAAATACTTTTATTATGTATTAAAAGCTTAGTTTCCAAAATTTCATGTTCTATTAAATGTTATCATAAAATAATGGATACTTTTTTATCTTTTAGTTAGAAGTTCTGTTATAAATCCTCCTAAAGACAAAGTCATATTTGCTATAATACATTTTATCTTAAATACCTTACAATATGAATTTGAATATAATCAATTTAAACAAACAATTCTATAGAATATACCATTTAACTCTTTTGATTTATTATAGAATATTTTACTTTTTGAAACGAATTTGAATATATCGATATGACCTATTATAGGATATTTTACTTTTTTTATATGTTTCTAAAATATTTAGCGGCTTATTGTTAATATTTAATGTCGCTAAAAATTGTTTTTGTTACCGTGGAGATTTGTTTGAGAAAAATGCATTGCTATTTGTTGAAGTGTGATTTTCCTTATTTGGAGTTTTATTATTGTAATTAGGAGGTTGGGTTAATGATTAGGTTTCCTCATTCATTAGAAAACGAAACTTGAAGGGACAAATTTAAAAGTTCTTTAATTTGGTCGGCTATCGCACTTTCTTTAATTCGAAACGTAGTAGTCCGTATTATTTTATCATTTTAATTTATATGATATTATTTTAAAAATATTATTATAAGTATGTGAATGTTATGATTGTTGAGTTAAAAATAAATTAAAATATGTTCCTAATACGATATTTGTCAATTGCTATTGTCTATTTAGACGAAATTAACATGATTTTTCTCATCAAGGTTCATGGATTAAATTGAAGATTTGTTGTGAGTCACATCTATTTAAGTGAAATCAACGTAATTTTTTTAATAAAGATTCATTGGTTACACTAAAGATTGTTATGTGTCACATTCATATCATGTGATATCAATAACTTATAGAACCCTCATTATTTTTGTGCATTCACACCTTCAAAATACGAATAAAGGTAGTAATTTGATATGTAAATAATTACAGGTCGCGCTAAGTGAAGTCTTAGTCATTACTTTATCATCTTCGTACTTGTTTGATTGAATTATTGATTTAATTTTGATATTAATTGTTGGACTAAAACAATTTAATAAATATGATTAACATAATTATGTGATATTATTCTCTCTTTAACTGAAGTAAAATGATTTTTTTTCCGCTTTATATATATAAGCTTTTATTTTCTACAACTATTTTAGTATGGAATTTCACTTGTATATTCAACTTTGACATATTTAAAATCACTACGGATTTTAAGCACAATACAATCATTCAAATGTCATAACTTATTATAAATTTTAAAAAAGTGTAAAATTTCGAACATGTATTATCTTGGCACATGCTAAAAAAAAAATTAGACCTTAGGCAATGATGTCCATTGCTTTATAAACATTTTGTCTAAGACCTATTTTATTATTTTTATAATATAATGATGTGAATACTAGAACATTTTTTCTATGGCATTCCCAATATATCAAATGTAATAATTGGAAAATACAAGAAAAGATCATGTCTTGATAATGATAGGTTAAAGTTGCACCATAAAGAAAACTTTCCTACTTTATTGGATGCAAATATTAAAAATTCACTCATGATATATATATGTGAAACCACTAGACAAGGCAAAGGAAAACATTATTGTAATCCCATGCTGAAATGGTGGATTTCACAATGGCCAATAAATTTAAAATATCGATGGGATTCAGAATTTAGATGTTAATGATTGAATTTTGAAAATAATATCTAATTTTATTTGTATTAATACAATTACATATTAATCATGTATATAAGATTTAATTTAAAATTCTAATTTTATATCAAACTCGTAAACTAGATTTGAATATGTCATTGTTAGTATATCTATATGGTAATAAATTCTGATTGATTTGAAGAACATCTTAAAAATATATATATTGAAATTCTAGATTAATTAAGATTCACGTCAAAAAATCTTAAATTAAGAGGTAATTCCCTAGTCAGAGTTTTTCTTTACACAATTGATATTAGGTATTTATTTATTTCGATTGATTTAAGTTTACAGTGTATAATTAGACACATCAAAGAGAAAATGTATTGGTAATTAATAAATTGAGAAAGTAAAATATGCCAACGATATGCTTCCATCATTACCAAGTGATTCACATGGAATCATTATTGATGATATTATTAAAATTCCAAATTGGGGATTGTGTAATTAACAAGTAGTAGTTGACTTTCTTTACTAAACATCAACTGATTAGCTCACTAAACCCCCTTAATTTGGTTTAATAATTGTGTCATTTTAAAAATCATTTTGGAGGCCTGCAATTGGTCAATATGATAAATCATTAATCTTTCACTAATA